GACCCCCCCCAACGTTCGGGCGGGTAACACTGTATACACACACAAACACACACACACGTTATGGACTATAATTATTATAATAACACGATATATATGCATAATACATACATAATTTGTGCAAGTGTGCCACTTCCAAGGCAGATGGGTGTGTGGGCACTTGGCGCTTAACCACACTAACGTCGGCAACTTTGCATCTTTTACTATATTGCCTATCTACACCTTTTTTTTGTTTCATGGACGGTTTGTGATGATTTGTAGATCGAATGAGAAAGAGAGTTTGTGGTTTTCTGAAACACCCACACACACACACACACACAGACAGAAAAAAAAAAAAAAAAAAAAAAGAGGGAGAGGAGACTGTGCTGTGCTCAGCCAAATCTGCTACTAACCCTGATCTTCAATGCTTATTTTAATTTGTTTCATATAACTTCTCAGCCGTTGCATCCCATATGTTGCAATAGCCGTATACACCACAATCTCCCAGGGTTCCATCTGCTCCAGTCGTTCATTAAGCTTCCCGCGAAGATTATGGACAGCATCCCTCAAGCGCTCCATAGTATGGCGATTCAAGAATGAAGACCTCAACCACACTGAGAAGTGTTCCCCAATAACGATCTCTGAGACCTGCTCCCCCACCCCTCAAAGTGCCATCAAGAGACACTTTGAAAAGGAATTCCAAAGGATCCGCAGCCAACACAGCCACATTTAAAAGTGAGAGAAACAGACAGACTCGGACACAAAAGTCATTGCCCTAGCACAAAAGACCAAGAAATCATCAGCAAACGTGATATCTCCAAAATTCAAACCTGTACAACATAGTATTGTCATGATTATAGCTCTATGTACAGAAGAGAGTAAAAGTCTATGTACAGAAGAGAGTAAAAGTCTATGTACAGAAGAGAGGAAAAGAAAAAACACAAGGGATGCATGGACAGAAATAGGGAAGGTATAGAATCATGAAGCTGAAGGACAACCCAACATGGCAATCATCTTTGCAAAGTCGTAGTAATAATTATTTGTTTTGCTGGGTTGTTTTGCTAGGCTTGCTCCCTTGTGACACACACACACACACACACACACACACACACACACACACACACAAACGTGGCCAACCTTGCATTTTCTACTCTACTGTCTGTCTATACTTTTTCGTAATGGATGGTTTGTTATGATTTGTGGAGGGAATGAGAGAGAGAATTTGGGTTTTTTTTAATAAAAAAAACACGCGCACTGGTGCTTAACCACACAGACATGGCCAACCATGCATCTTCTACTATATTGCCTACCTACACTTCTTTTGTTTTATGGATGGTTTCTGATGACTTGTGAATGGAATGAGAGAGAGTTTTTTTTTTTCTTAACACACACACACACACACACACACACACACACACACACACACAGAGAAAGAGAGGGCACTTGGTGTGTAACCACGTATATGCGGCCAACTTTGCACTAATTTTTAATTCTAAATGGACATGGATAGATTTGGGGATGCCGTTTGGCCTTCGCTTACACAACACGAACGACAGCCTTGCCCGCTCTTTGCTTTGGTAAGTTGAGCAGCTAGGATCGGGCCTACGGAGATATTCTACCGCTCTTCTTCTGGATTTGTTTTGTTTTTGATTTCATTGCATATGGCCTCTTGTCAGACTTTTGGTCATCTACGTTTGGCCGGGATGGGAGTATGGCCATTCCCTGTCTGGCAAGGCTCATATAGTGTTTACTGTGCCTGTAATTCCCACAAGCTGCTGTTGCTGAGCACTTAGATTAAGGAACGGAACTCTACGTGTTGGGCATTAAGCAGTGGTGTCGGTCCCCGAGGGCGAGTTTTCCGGATTGGTAAAAGGGCGGTTGGGAGTATTTTTAGTCGGTGGTAGAGCTCTTGTTGCCACAGGAACCTTCTGTCCAACTGTGCTGCCTTTTGGACAGTGAGGCATTTGTTCTCGGATGGATGCTTTTTGTCAATGGGAATTGTTTTATGCAAATTGATGAGATTTACTGACTTATGATTGTCTTTGGGTGTTGGCTGCAGATTGGTGGCATTTGAGACATCCGTAAGGCTAGGATTGGTGTGTGGTCACTGCAGTGTAAACAAGAACCAAACAACATCAGGTACTAGCCGTTTAAGAACCTGAATCTGGATGTGATCCATGCAGAGATGCAGAAATCGTGATTTTCTGCACCCCTCGAAAGAGCCATCCAGATTCAGGCTCTGTATATAATCCTCGCTTTCCCTCCCTCCACCCCCCAAAGAGAGAGTGAGAGTGAGAGAGAGGTGCTGGCATGAGAGAGAGAGATGTGCGCGTGAGAGACAGAGGGAGGGGCGCCCCTTTCAGATCGCACCCATGGGGAGAGAGAGAGAGAGAGAGAGAGAGAGAGAAAGAGAGAGATGCGCAGGCTGCCTGTCAACTCACACCCGTGGATAGATAGATAGACGGGGGGAGAGTGAGAGGAGAAAGGGAGAGAGAGATGTGCACACCTGTCAACGCACGGAAGTGGAGAGAGAGAGAGAGAGAGAGAGAGAGTTTACACAGCAGAACATTCGGAACATATCTGGCCGGTAATTTCGTCTGGACTTTGGTCCTAGATACTGACCAGATTCATTTCGAATGTTCTGCCATGTCTGGACTCTCTCTCTCTCTCTCTCTCTCTCTCTCTCTCTCTCTCTCTCTCTCTCTCTCCCCCCCCCCCCTTCTCTTCCTTCCCCGTGTGGGTACAACCACAATTTCTCCAGCCCTGTTTATGGGCATGAGCATAATT